ATTTCTGCCCTTTCCGCCAAAAGTTTCGAAAGATCATCACAAAGTTTGGCACCATCATCGATTCGCTTGACTGTCCTCTTGTAGCTGTTCACATCCCAAAAATTAAACCCGGAAAGTTGCGCAACAGAAGAGTTTGCTTTCGCCGAGTTTTCATCGACTTTGAGGTTTGTGTCTTTACTACTATCATCAATGTGGGGGTACAATTTATCTTCTGTCTGCTCGCTAGGATTCACTGTTTCTGGTAAGATAACTTCATTTCCATCTTCCATTTTGGAAACTTACGATCAAACTTGTGTTACTGAAAATATTTGCTAACGGTTGTCAACATCGCAAATCTACAACCGAAAACAATTTGGTTTCCAAGGTTCAGAGAGGGGAACCAGTTGGAACGTTCAGCTGTCCTTCACCTGTCTGAGCCCACGGACACGATACTTGGCAGCCTCGCCAAGACACTTCTGAAGCAAGATGGCGGAGAAAAGCGACTTTAAAGATTATCCATCAGTATAAATTTCAGGTTGTCATATAACCCTTAAGTAACAGATGGGTTATCTCATCCTTCCTTCTTGAAAGTATCGAAAGGATCAATTTTTCTGTTGGCTATATTACGTTCTGGAACAGCGATGGACGGCGCGAATTCGAATCATTCATCAGATGACGTCACTCGGTGATACATTGCGGATGTTTCCTTACCATGTCGGTAACTACGCTTGATAAGTTAAATATCGAAATATCGTAGGGTCGAACGTTCAGATAACTGGTATCTTGCAGTCTTTTGGTGAATTTTATTGTGACATGATCGCGATGAAGTCGACAAGAAGCAATATTTTCTTAAGTGAAATTGGTAATTGATCAAAGAAGTCAAATTATACCAAATTCACAAAGTCCAGGAGGGCGGTCATTTATCTAAATTTACGTTAAATCGCTTTTCAAACGATGAATACTGAAGAACTGGAACTGTTGTCCGACTCCAAGTACCGTCAATTTATCAATGCTATCGAAAAGGCGCTGAGGAGCTTCGAGTATTCAAGTGAGTGGGCAGATCTTATATCTGCTCTTGGAAAATTAAACAAGGTATATGTAGCCTTATTACCTTTAGATAAGTTTTTCATTTGCTTTTAAAAAGAAGCAGGTTCTATGTATCATGATTCTTCCTATTTTTGTTTGTCAGGGAATATATTTGAAAATAATTGCTTACTGGTGCTTGTTCGTGAAAGTTAGTGGTCTATAAATTTTTTGAAGCATAACAAAAGGAAATTAACACTTTGTGTTAGTTCGTAAATCACATTTGTTTTTTAATATTGTCAAATTTTTCACTAACAAAGAAAATCTGACAGAATACCTAAGCCCAAGTTTTAATTTTTTTTTGGCTGCATTTATCATTTTTGTAACAAACAGCTAAAATTCCAGGCTAACAAAATGGGTGAAATTTACCATCATGATGATAATGACTCAGTTTGTGACCTTTGAACTCCTTGTAAATATTTCAGAGGTCCATTACATGAAAACAGTAGCTTGATGCTCAATTTCCATACTGTACAAGAAACCTCTTTAGCTTGTATCTTTTGTTTACCCATCTCAGGTCTCAAAGGAATTCTCAGCTTTATCTTTTGTAAATCATGTGCAGATATGTTTGTGAATAAGCAGAAACTTGACAGATACAGTTCTCAAGGGTATTATGAAATGACCTGATACGAGTAAACAAAACATACAAGCTAAAAGAGATATATTGATACAGCACCACAGTTTGCATTTTATGAGTTATAGAAAAAGTACAGTGTCCAAGAAACCTTGATCAATGAATTTTTAGAACACAAATTTTGAATACTACATCACTGTGTAAGCCCCATAGTTGCTTAACCCTTGACCTCTAAGAGTGACAAGCATCTAATTTCACCCTATGATATCACCCCTGAATGCCACATTAAGGTCACAAGAAAAAATAAAATGATCACCAACTAAAGAAGTATTTGATTGTTAATTAAACAAATTCTCCTAGTCAGCACCATAGGAAATTTATGGAGAACAGTATGTAGAATAAATATATCTCATCAGATGTTTTGTTGAGTAGTATATTGCTGATTATTATATGGCTGTGTCTCACAAGAACTGGGAACTATTGAATTCACGAATTTGATTGGCTGAATCAATATTGACAGCGGTCTAGATTTTCCCATCTAGACCGGCATCTAGACCGGTCTAGAAAAAAAAGGTACAAAGAATATAAAAAATTGGCATACAAGACATAAGCCTGTGGGGTGAGTCAAAATACAAACATTGAGTAAAAAATGCTCAGCAATACTACACAACAAAATGTTTAATAGGAGATTTATTATCCAACACGCTAAATTGTTATTTCAGTGCAGGTAAATTTCGCGGATATTGCTGGAGTACAAATAGTGAGTGATATTGGTACTCATCTTGCACGTGATATTTGTATTCTATGAAGCACATTTGGATAATAAGCATACTTATGGTAGGGTTAAATGGTTAGGGAACACAGAATAAAGAAAATCTTCATCACTAGCCTGTTATTAAATTTCTTAATCTTTGTTTTGTTTTAGGTATTACAAAATCATACTAAATTTAAAGTACTGCCAAGAAAACTCACCATTGGTAAAAGACTTGCTCAATGCATGCATCCTACTCTACCAAGTGGTGTGCATCTTAAAGCACTGGAGACATATGAACTCATCTTCAAACGCATTGGTCACAAAGGTCTGGCACAAGATTTATTCATTTATAGTGCTGGACTTTTTCCATTACTTGGAAACGCTGCTATGTCAACTAGGCCTGTTTTGATGAACATGTATGAGAATTACTTCCTTTCTCTTGGTAAAGCCTTACTTCCAGGACTTTCTGGGCTTCTTTTGGGTCTTTTGCCAGGAATTGAAGAAGGATCTGAATATACTGACAGGTTTGTCAATGGTTAATTTACTTTTATCAGCTAAGTTGTTTATGTAAATTGGCCACTGTAAGGAGTTTTTCAAGCTGATGTCACGAGTGTTAGCCCTACTTGAGTGTTAGCCCTACTTGAGTGTTAGCCCTACTGGAGTGTTAGCCCTCATTTTGTTGTAAGAAGTATTTCAGAAACATGTTTGCCCATAGTAAAAATGTAATAAATCTAAGTAATTAATCTGTAATAATAAAGTATGCTTAGAATTTATTTAGAGGTGGTGTTAAAGTTTGATTCTTTAACAGTGAAGTTCCTTGCGACTGGTCATGACAAACATACAATTTTTGTGAGTTTAATGTAAATATTTGATGCAAACTAGTTTGTAACATATTGGTTAATCTCTTCTTCCAAATAGGACTATTTCACTATTAGGTTCCTTTAGTGAGAACACTGAGAAGAACATTTTCTACACCACTCTCTGGGGATGTGTTTATTCATCAGCGAGTATCCGCCTGCCAGCTGTCACCTTTATAATGACGCGACTAAATAAGAAAGGAGCTGGAAAACAAACGTAGATCTTAGGAAATGATATACCACTCTTGGTAAGTACAGTATCTTACACTGTCAAAGCTGTCATTGTTTTTTTGTGATTTCTTATCTCACCAGTGTGAATTGGTGGGTTCCCAGGATGGGGTCATATTGGGTATCTTCTTCCCATGTTAAGTTAACAATTAATTTTGATTGCCTCCTGCTAGGTGGTATTTTTAACCTTGCCTTACATGTCCGATGTTCTGCTCAACCTCACTTGTTGAAGGCAGCAAATATGTTACGTAAAATTTCACAGTATTTTTAAATTTAAAACTTACGGCAGTTTACTTTAAGTCTGGTCCTAGTTTGGCAAAACCGTGCTCTAACCTGTTATGTTAATTTTTTTGTGCGAATAGTTTCTCCAAAGCTTATTGATAAACAGTCATTTTCCACCAACAAGCTCTCTGAGATAAAAACCTGTAGCTCTACGGTTTGTCTGAACTGCGATAGATTTCGTTTGAATAACAAGCTCAGAGATTCTTTCAAGAATACTAATCCTTTAAATGATTCTTTATCACTGCAGGTACTTGCAGTCAGCGCTGCTTTAAGAGACAACAGTCTCCTAGTTCAGCGGAATATGCTTGATTTTCTCTTACTTTTTCTTCCGGTGGACACTACATATCTCTCGTCCAATGAAAAAGTGACCCTCGTGGCTTCCGGGTTAGAAGTGCTACTACGACGAGACATGTCTTTAAAACGGCGGCTGTATACATGGCTTTTAGGAACTAACGCGGCCAAGACTGAATCTGTCTCCAGAACTGATAGTGTTTGTAGCAACGACGCGGATCCTGAAGATCCCGAAGTGACATTCTTCAGCATGCATTCGAGACCACTTGTAATCGAGGCTGTGCGAAAGATTTTCCAAACTCAAACCAGTATCGATAAGGAAGCCACGAATGGAGCTAAAAAATTGCAAAGACTACAATTGCTGAAACCGTTTCGATTACTAATTAGCCTTTTGGACAAACCCGAAATTGGTGGATCTATCTTGGAAGATATTCTACTTGATGTTTTCAGAGCACTGTATAGTCAGTGTAAAGTTCTCAAAGAAAATGGAGCTGCCTTCGAAGAGACTGATCGAAAAGATTCCTTTGACAATGCAGCTGTTGAAAGTGGCGCGAGTAGAACCGATTCTGCAAAGACAAAGCTTATTGATGACTTGATCAAAACTGCAAACTTACTCTTCAACGCCTTTGAGCCTTACTTTATGTGGGAATACATTGCAAAGTTGCTCTCTGACTGCGACAAACTATCATCAGAAGGTAGAGCTCTCAATGAAGGTGACGGCCAAGACTGCAACGGCAAGGCTGGTGAATTTGTTGCTAAAGTATCAGTCACAAGCTGCTCTGAAGTGTTTCGTTTGACAGATTTTATTTTAGATGTTGTTACTCTGGTAAGTTGGATGCGTATTTTCAAAGTGGTATGAAATGATCTTCCGTTAACCTTCACGCAAAAGCCTCATATTAATCCAACAGTGATGCTGAGACAAGATACGCAAACTTTTGTACCAAACTTCGCC